GGTAGGCAAGGCAGCGGTCAACCTCGCGCCAGTGCTAGTCGCTCCTCACCGTGAGACCGCTCCCCAGCTTGCTGCAGGCGAAGGCGACGTCCGGCCTCGTCGTCGTCGCCGCGAACTGCAGCGAGCCGACCTTCTGCCGGTACTCCTCCTCCTGTCGCTCCTGCGCCTCCTCGTCGTCGAAGGTGAGCTTGGCGTAGACACCAACCGAGACCGGCGTCTTCGGAGTCCGCCCGGTCTGCTCCTCGTCAATGAAGCGCCTACGCAGCTTGTCGGCGTAGCCCTGCTGGTGCAGCCACAGCTTCCCCGCCGACCTGTCGCGGACGATCTCCAGCCCGAGGTACTTCTGCACCGGCGAGATCTCACGCAGCTCGAAGGCGGACTCCAGCAGCTCCTTCAGCTCCTTCAGCATCTCGGTGCTGCTGCTGGCGGCGTGCAGGTCGTCGACGTAGATCAGCACCCAGCAGGCTACTCCGTCCTTGCCGACCTTAAAGTACAGAGCCTCGTCGACCTGGCTCTTCTTCCACCCGGCGCCGACCAGCACGTCGTTGAGCGCCAAGTACCACAGCAGCGGCGACTGCTTCAGCCCGTATAGGCTCTTCAGCAGCTTGCAGACCCGGCCGGTTCCGTCGTTGAAGTAGTCCGGCTGAGCCATGTAGAGCACCCGGTCGAGCTTGCTCTGCAGGAAGGCGTTCTTCATGTCGAGCTGCATCAGGTTGAGGTTGAGGACGGCGACGATGCTGAGGAAGATCCTCAGCGTGACGTAGCTGCCCACCGGCTCGAACGTCTCGTCGTAGTCGGCGCCGTACACCTGCGTGAAGCCCTTCACGACCAGCCTCGCCTTCTCGCGCTCGACGGTGTCGTCGACGTGGTACTTCGTCGTCAACACCCACCGGTTCTTCATGACGTTCACTCCCGGCGGGCGTTCGACCAACTACCAAGTCCCCATGCTGATGAGGCTGCGGATCTCCTCCTCTATGGCGGACTTCACCGCCGGGCCCTTCTAGCTCGCCAACGCCCCCTTCACCGTCATCGTCGAGATGTCCCAGCGGTGCTCGGGGTCGGCGTGCATGTCGGGGTCGAGGTCCGGAAACTCCTCATCGTCCTCGGCGTCGTCGTACAGCAGGTCGTCGTCATCGTCGACGTCGTAGACCGTGGTGAAGGCAGCGGGTACAAAGCGGTCCGGCGGCCGCCGAACCTGGTCCGACTTCCGGGGTTCCCGGCGTCCCCTCCTTCGTCACCGTCGTCGCTGCCCTCGTCGTCCTGCTGCATCTCGGTCGACTTCCTGGTCGACCTCTCCCCTGTGGTCGGCTCCCCAGCCGACTGCCCGGTCGCCGACTGCTCCGTAGTCGGCTTCACGGCTGCCTGCTCCCCTTTTGGCTGCTGCACCTCGACCTGCTCCTCCCCTGTCAACCTCGGCTTCAATCCCATGTCGACCTGCCTCTTGTCACGTCGGCCACCGGCGATGCTCTTGGCCGGCGCCGAAGGCGACGTACCACTTCTCCCCTCATCGCCGGAGGCCGACACCAAGGTCAGCCCACGCAGGTCGGCCACGAGGGGAGGGGCAGGGGTCGGAGGGGGAGGGGGGCGGACGTCCTCGACGTCCTCAGCAGCAAGCTCACCGACCTCGGCAAGCAGCGGCAGCGTCGCCGTCGAGGTGTCAGAGGGCGGGGTGGACGAGCGGCCGGACACCGGCCCATGCTCCGACTTCCACTCGGCCAGCGACATCTCCTCGTAGAACACCACGTCTGACGTGGTGACCACCCGGTTGGCGTCGACGTCGAGGAGCTCCCAGCCCTTGCTCGCCGCCGACACGCCAAGGTGAAGGCCCCACCTGGCCTTCGGCTGCAGCTTCCCACCACGCTGCTGCTCAGGGACAAGAAACTGCGCCATGCAGCCCCACACCCGCGCCAGCGACAAGTCGGGCCACTGCCCGGTCAGCAGTTGGTACGGCGTCGTCCCCGGTGGCAGCGTCGACCTCTCAAGGCAGTTGCGGACCCAGACGGCCTGCCGCAGAGCGAGGTGCCACCAGTGGTGCTGCACGCCCATGTGCAGCAGCATCGTCCGCACCGAATCCACCACCGTCCGCATCTCCCTCTCCGCCATGCCGTTCTGCTGCGGGGTGTATGGGCAGGTCAGGTCGTGGACGATCCCCTTGTCGTCCACGAAGTCGGTGAACTTCCTCCCGAGGAATTCCCCTCCTCGGTCCGAGCGCAACTGCAGCACCGACTTCTTCGTCTGCCGCTCCACCAACACCAGCCACTTCTGGAACTCCAGCAGCACGTCCGACTTCTTGGCGACCGCCCTCACCCACACGAAGTGGGTTTTGCGGTCCTTCAAAAGCAGGAAGTACAAGCTGCCGTCCTTGGCAGCCACGCGGAACGGCCCGCACAGGTCGATGTGCACGACGGCCAGCACGTCGACGGCGTCGGAGCCTTGGTCGGGGAAGGTGTGCCGCGCCAGCTTCCCGCCGACGCACGAGACACACGGGGAGTCGGCGCCCGTCGCCGACTTGAGGTCCAGCCCAATGGCGACCTCGTGCTTCGCCGAGCTCCTGATGGTGTCCATGCCGACGTGCGCCAGCCTCGCGTGCATCCGGTCTGGCGTCGACTTCGTCTTCGAGACGATCGCCCGCAGAGCCACGACCTCCGGCGTGGGCGACGTTGACGTCGTCGAGCAGGGACGCAGGTCGGTGCAGAGGACTCGCCCAGAGTATGTCGCCCGACCAAGCACCTCCCAAGCCGCCGAGACGAGCAGCATGTCGTCTCCGTCCTCTTGTAGCTTCACGCCATGCTCCTTCAGCTGGCCGGCCGACAGCAGGTTGGCCCGCACACCCGGGACGTACAGCACGTCGGGGATGAGCACCTGCTTCCCGGCCGCTCCTTGTAGGGCGACGGTGCCACGACCCTGGACGTCTTATAGCGCCCCATTGAAGCCGCGCACGTGCTTGACGGAGCCGCTCGGCTGCAGGTCGACGAAGACCTCCTTCGTCCCCATCAGGTGATGGGAGCAGCCGCTGTCGAGCAGGACCACCTCCGGGTTCGCCTGCACATCTGCCGCCACTGCCTGGAAGTCCTCTCCGGCCTCCGGCGCCAGCGAGACGGTCGGCTCCACGACGCCGACCAGCGAGCACGACGCCGTCTTGTCGTCCCGTGTCTTGCCGCCAGCAGAGGAGTCGGCGTCCTTCGCCGAAGTCGACGCCTTGGTCGACTGCGTCTCCTTGCGCGGCTGGTTTTCTCCTCGACGAGGACGACGACTGCTCGACCTCCCGCGGCCGCCCTTGTCGTCGTCGTCGGAGTCACTGCGGTCAGGACACTCGAAGGAGAGGTGGTCGGGGCTGTGGCAGATCCAGCACTCCCGACGTCGACCTCCTCCTCCTCGACCGCCGTCCTTGGTCGACTTCCAGCCACCACTCCCGCCGCCACCAAGCTGTCCGCGCTGACCCGGGCGACCTCCTTGCTTTGCCGAGGCGACGAAGTTGGCCTGCGCCAAGAGCTCCTGCGACCGTTCGGCCTCCTGCATCGCCTCGTCCTGCAGGATGTACGAGGTTAGGTTGTCCTCGTTGAGCGACGTCCTCGTGCCCGGCGCCATCGACAGCGTCTTCAGGAGGTTGTAGCTGCTGGACAACCCCTGCATCACGTGGGTGACGTACGACGTCGTGGAGTACTGCGCGTCGGCCATCCTGATGGTGGCGAGAATTCGCCGGGCTCGGTTGCAGTAGTCGGTCGCCGTCTCCTCGTCGCCCATACGCAGGTGCGTCAGCTGCCCCTCGAGCTGGGAGATGAACAGGTCGTCGGTGACCTGGTACGTCGACTCAATGAAGTGCCACGCCTGGTGGCCGGCGTCGACGTACTCTCGACACCACTTCAAGGCGATCTGCACGCCCGGCGAGCAGCACCGCGAGATGACCATGAAGGTCAACAGCTGCACGGCGCGAAACTCCGCACGCAGGTCGGGGTCGTCTGGCGTCTCCACGGAGCCTCGGGCGAAATTGATCAGCCCCGCCGTCTCCAGTTGGGGCTCGATAGCCTCCTTCTAGGTGAGAATGTCCTGTCGACCAACGAGCGGCGGGGTGACCAAGATCCTGTCCGGCGAAAATTTGAAGTAGCCGTAGCTTGGTGCTATCCCGGCCGCCGTCACCTGGCTCGCCGACATCGGCGACAATCCGCTTCGTCGACCTCCAACGTCGCCTCGCGAGGAGCCTGCAGCCGCCGACGACTGCACCCCTCGCCCCTGAACGCCGCCGACTTCATCGGCGTGAATCACACCTCTCTGCCTCGACGTGCCTCTCGCATTGCTGCCGACTTGGCCACCTCCGGCGTTGACGCCCACGTCGACGCCGCCTTCGTTGGTCACCGGGCGAGGAGAAGCCGGTCGAGAAGGGTGCAGGGTCGCCCACATCGTGCGAATGCCAGCCTCCACAACCGCCCAGGGTATCGTTCCATACTCCTGGGCACTATGACGTGTCCTCGCGTCCTCCAGCTTTGCTTCCAGGGTCTCCATCGCCTTGGCGTCACCTACGCGCAAGCTAGAGACTGCACGGCTGCCGGCCTACGTCAACTTAGGTAAGTAGCCTCTACGTCGACCTGACTATAAGGTAAGTCGTGTGCCGTCCACGCTCACCGCACCATGCGGAGATAACTAATACAACGGGAGCTAGACTACGGGCTAGGCACGGGTGCTTGTGTGATCTCTGCGTTCGTTGGTTCTTAGTCGTTTTCCTAGTGCAACACTGCTTGCTAGTTTAAGGGGTAATTTGGCAAGAGTTTCACTAGAGAAAGTTGACAACAATGATGCAATGAAGTTGGCAACACTAGACTACATCTGAGCAAACATCCAAGTCGGCCAACTACCAGCGCAGCTTGGTCGACCGCGTTCCAGCACGACTAGGTCGACCGCGCTACAGCAAGGCAAGGTTGACAGCGTGCCAACGTCGCAGGTTGACGGCGTGCCAGCGCTGCTCACGCAGAACAGCAGTGCACCCGCTTCGCAGGTGCGCGCAGATGATTGGCGTGCAGAGTCTCGTCACCTGCACAGCGCACACATCACGTCAACCTCGAGCTGACGACTGCCTCTGATCCGCCACGACGACCTCGGGATACCACCACCGAGGTCGGGCTCGCCAACTTGGCTTGGGCGACCGTCGCACTCCTCCGCAGCACTTCGTCACCCAGGTAACCTGGTCGACCGGGCAACCAAGACGACCAGCAGCTCCCGTACGTGCCCGTCGACCTCCCAAGTCGACGGCCACCTCCAGTCGACCTCACCAGGCCGACCACACCCTCGGTCGACCTCCTCGAGGTCGACGTCACTCCTGGTCGACCAGCTTCACGTCGACCAGTGTAGTTGTCGGCCGACCACCCAAGTCGGCCCCCCGAGGTCGGCGTCACGAAGTTGACGCCCCGCTACTCGACGTCTCACTGCTCGGCGTCCTGCGTCGAGGTCGACGTCAGCCCCTCCTTCGTTGACCACGTCCTCCGGAGGTCGACTCCCAAGCCGACCTCCCCTGAAGTCGGCGCCATCCTGAAGTTGGCGCCCGTGCAGTGACCCCCGTGCAGGTCGACCTCCTCGTCGACCAGCTCGCCCACTGCTGCAGGTCGGCTGCTCCCCTCACACCCGACCACGAAGTCGACTCCGCCCAAGCGAGGACGGGGCCACCCCACAACTCCCGTTGACAATTCTGCCGCTTTCCATCACCCCGCCCCATTCTCCTGCTTTCCATCACCCCGCCCCATTCTCCCGCTTTCCATCACCCCGCCCCATTCTCCTGCTTTCCATCACCCCGCCCCATTCTCCTGCTTTCCATCACCCCGCCCCATTCTCCCGCTTTCCATCACCCCGCCCCATTCTCCCGCTTTCCATCACACCGGCCCATTCTCCCTCTTTCCATCACCCCGCCCCATTTTCACTCTTTCCATCACCCCGTCCCATTTTCCGGCTTTCCATCACCCCGCCCCATTCTCCCTCTTTCCATCACCCCGCCTCATTCTCCCTATTTCCATCACCAAGCCCCATTCTCCCGCTTTCCATCACCCCACCCCATTCTCCCGCTTTCCATCACCCCGCCCTATTCTCCCGCTTTCCATCACCCCGCCCCATTCTCCCGCTTTCCATCACCCCGCCCCATTCTCCTGCTTTCCATCACCCCGCCCCATTCTCCCGCTTTCCATCACCCCACCCCATACTCCCGCTTTCCATCACCCCGACCCATTCTCCCTCCTTTCATCACCCCGCCCCATTCTCCCTCTTTCCATCACCCCACCCTATTCTCCCTCTTTCCATCACCCCGCCCCATTCTCCCGCTTTCCATCACCCCGCCCCATTTTCCCGCTTTCCATCACCCCGCCCCATTAACCCTCTTTCCATCACCCCGCCCCATTCTCCCTCTTTCAATCACCGTGCCCCATTTTTCCGCTTTTCATCACCCCGCCCCATTCTCCCTCTTTCCATCACCCCGCCCCATTCTTCCGCTTTTCATCACCCCGCCCCATTCTCCCTCTTTCCATCACCCCGCCCCATTCCCCCTCTTTCCATCAGCCCGCCCCATTCTCCCGCTTTCCACCACCCTGCCCCATTCTCCCGCTTTCCATCACCCTGCCCCATTCTCCCGCTTTCCATCACCCTGCCCCATTCTCCCGCTTTACATCACCCCGCCATATTCTTACTCTTTCCATCACCCCGCCCCATTCTCCCGCTTTCCATCACCCCGCCCCATTCTCCTCCTTTCCATCACCCCGCCCCATTCTCCCGCTTTCCATCACATCGGCCCATTCTCCCTCTTTCCATCACCCCGCCCCATTTTCGCTCTTTCCATCACCCCGTCCCATTGTCCCGCTTTCCATCACCCGGCCCCATTCTCCCGCTTTCCATCACCCCGCTCCATTCTCCCGCTTTCCATCACCCCGCCCAATTCTCCCTCTTTCCATCACCCCTCCCCATTGTCCCTCTTTCCATCACCCAGCCCCATTCTCCCGCTTTCCATCACCCCGCCCCATTCTCCCTCTTTCCATCACCCCGCCCCATTCTCCCGCTTTCCATCACCCCGCCCCATTCTCCCTCTTTTCATCACCCCGCCCCATTCTCCTTCTTTTCATCACCCCGCCCCATTCTCCCTCTTTCCATCACCCCGCCTCATTCTCCCTATTTCCATCACCAAGCAACATTCTCCCGTTTTCCATCACCCCGCCCCATTCTCCCTCTTTCCATCACCCCGCCCCATTCTCCTGCTTTCCATCACCTTGCCCCATTATCCCTATTTCCATCACCCCGCCCCATTCTCCCGCTTTCCATCACCCCGCCCCATTCTTCCGCTTTCCATCACCCCGCCCCATTCTCCAGCTTTCCATCACCCCGCCCGATTCTCCCGCTTTCCATCACCCCACCCCATTCTCCCGCTTTCCATCACCCCGCCCCATTCTCCCTCTTTCCATCACCCCGCCCCATTCTCCCGCTTATTATCACCCCGTCCCATTCTCCTGCTTTCCATCACCCCGCCCCATTCTCCCGCTTTCCATCACCCCGCCCCATTCTTCCGCTTTCCATCACCCCGCCCCATTCAGCCTCTTTCCATCACCCCGCCCCATTCTCCCTCTTTCCATCACCCCGCCCCATTCTTCCGCTTTTCAACTCCACGCCCCATTCTCCCTCTTTCCATCACCTCGCTCCATTCCCCCTCTTTCCATCAGCCCGCCCCATTCTCCCGCTTTCCACCACCCTTCCCCATTCTCCCGCCTTCCATCACCCTGCCCCATTCTCCCGCTTTCCATCACCCCGCCCCATTCTCTCGCTTTCCATCACCCCGCCCCATTCTCCCGCTTTCCATCACCCCGCCCCATTCTCCCGCTTTCCATCACCCCACCCCATTCTCCCGCTTTCCATCACCCTGCCCCATTCTCCCGCTTTCCATCACCCCGACCCATTCTCCCTCTTTTCATCACCCCGCCCCATTCTCCCTCTTTCCATCACCCCGCCCTATTCTCCCTCTTTCCATCACCCCGCCCCATTCTCCCGCTTTCCATCACCCCGCCCCATTCTCCCGCTTTCCATCACCCCGCCCCATTCTCCCGCTTTCCATCACCCCGCCCCATTCTCCCGCTTTCCATCACCCCGCCCCATTCTCCTGCTTTCCATCACCCCGCCCCATTCTTCCGCTTTCCATCACCCCGCCCCATTAACCCTCTTTCCATCACCCCGCCCCATTCTCCCTCTTTCCATCACCGTGCCCCATTCTTCCGCTTTTCATCACCCCGCCCCATTCTCCCTCTTTCCATCACCCCGCCCCATTCTTCCGCTTTTCATCACCCCGCCCCATTCTCCCTCTTTCCATCACCCTGCCCCATTCCCCCTCTTTCCATCAGCCCGCCCCATTCTCCCGCTTTCCACCACCCTGCCCCATTCTCCCGCTTTCCATCACCCTGCCCCATTCTCCCGCTTTCCATCACCCTGCCCCATTCTCCCGCTTTCCATCACCCCGCCATATTCTTCCTCTTTCCATCACCCCGCCCCATTCTCCCGCTTTCCATCACCCCGCCCCATTCTCCTGCTTTCCATCATCCCGCCTCATTCTCCCGCTTTCCATCACTCCGCCCCATTCTCCCGCTTTCCATCACCCCACCCCATTCTCCCGCTTTCCATCACCCTGCCCCATTCTCCCTCTTTCCATCACCCCGCCCCATTCTCCCTCTTTCCATCACCCCGCCCCATTCTCCCGCTTTCCATCACCCCGCCCCATTCTTCCACTTTCCATCACCCCGCCCCTTTCTCCCGCGTTCCATCACCCCGCCCCATTCTCCCGCTTTCCATCGCTCTGCCCCATTCTCCCGCTTTCCATCACCCCGCCCCATTCTCCCGCTTTCCACCACCCTGCCCCATTCTCCCGCTTTCCATCACCCTGCCCCATTCTCCCGCTTTCCATCACCCCGCCCCATTCTCCCGCTTTCCATCACCCCGCCCCATTCTCCCGCTTTCCATCACCCCGCTCCATTCTCCCGCTTTCCATCACCCCGGCCCATTCTCCCGTTTTCCATCACCCCGCCCCATTCTCCTGCTTTCCATCACCCCGCCCCATTCTCCCGCTTTCCATCACCCCGCCCCATTCTCCCGCTTTCCATTACCCCGTCCCATTCTCCCTCTTTTCATCACCCCGCCCCATTCTCCCTCTTTCCATCACCCCACCCCATTCTCCCGCTTTCCATCAGCCCGGCCCATTCTCCCTATTTCCATCACCCTGCCCCATTCTCCCACTTTCCATCACCCCGCCCCATTCTCCCGCTTTCCATCACCCCGCCCCATTCTCCTGCTTTCCATCACCCCGCCCCATTCTCCCTCTTTCCATCACCCCGCCCCATTCTCCCTCTTTCCATCACCCCGCCCCGTTCTCCCTCTTTCCATCACCCCGCCCCATTCTCCCTATTTCCATCACCCCGCCCCATTCTTCCGCTTTCCATCACCCCGCCACATTCTCCAGCTTTCCATCACCCCGCCCCATTCTCCCGCTTTCCATCACCCCGCCCCATTCTCCCGCTTTCCATCACCCCGCCCCATTCTCCCGCTTTCCATCACCCCGCCCCATTCTCCCGCTTTCCATCACCCCGCCCCATTCTTCCGCTTTTCATCACCCGCCCCTTTCTCCCTCTTTCCATTACCCCACCCCATTCTCCCTCTTTCCATCACCCCGCCCCATTCTCCCGCTTTCCATCACCCCGCCCCATTCTCCCGCTTTCCATCACCCCGCCCAATTCCCCCTCTTTCCATCAGCCCGCCCCATTCTCCCGCTTTCTATCACCCCGCCCCATTCTCCCTATTTCGATCACCCCGCCCCATTCTCCCGCTTTCCATCACCCCGCCCCATTCTCCCGCTTTCCATCACCCCTCCCCATTCTCCCTCTTTCCATCACCCCGCTCCATTCCCCCTCTTTCCATCAGCCCGCCCCATTCTCCCGCTTTCCACCACCCTGCCCCATTCTCCCGCTTTCCATCACCCTGCCCCATTCTCCCGCTTTCCATCACCCCGCCCCATTCTCCCGCTTTCCATCACCCCGCCCCATTCTCTCGCTTTCCATCACCCCGCCCCATTCTCCCGCTTTCCATCATCCCGCCCCATTCTCCTGCTTACCATCACCCCGCCCCATTCTCCCGCTTTCCATCACCCCACCCTATTCTCCCGCTTTCCATCACCCTGCCCCATTCTCCCGCTTTCCATCACCCCGACCCATTCTCCCTCTTTTCATCACCCCGCCCCATTCTCCCTCTTTCCATCACCCCGCCCTATTCTCCCTCTTTCCATCACCCCGCCCCATTCTCCCGCTTTCCATCACCCCGCCCCATTCTCCCGCTCCATCACCCCGCCCCATTCTCCCGCTTTCCATCACCCGGCCCATTCTCCCGCTTTCCATCACCCCGCCCCATTCTTCCGCTTTCTATCACCCCGCCTCATTAACCCTCTTTCCATCACCCCGCCCCATTCTCCCTCTTTCCATCACCGTGCCCTATTCTTCCGCTTTTCATCACCCCGCCCTATTCTCCCTCTTTCCATCACCCCGCCCCATTCTTCCGCTTTTCATCACCCCGCCCCATTCTCCCTCTTTCCATCACCCCGCCCCATTCCCCCTCTTTCCATCAGCCCGCCCCATTCTCCCGCTTTCCATCACCCTGCCCCATTCTCCCGCTTTCCATCACCCTGCCCCATTCTCCTGCTTTCCATCACCCCGCCCCATTCTCCCGCTTTCCATCACCCCGCCATATTCTTCCTCTTTCCATCACCCCGCCCCATTCTCCCGCTTTCCATCACCCCGCCCCATTCTCCTGCTTTCCATCACCCCGCCCCATTCTCCCGCTTTCCATCACCCCACCCCATTCTCCCGCTTTCCATCACCCCGCCCCATTCTCCCGCTTTCCATCACCCCGCCCCATTCTTCCGCTTTCCATCACCCCGCCCCATTCAGCCTCTTTCCATCACCCCGCCCCATTCTCCCTCTTTCCATCACCCCGCCCCATTCTTCCGCTTTTCAACTCCACGCCCCATTCTCCCTCTTTCCATCACCTCGCTCCATTCCCCCTCTTTCCATCAGCCCGCCCCATTCTCCCGCTTTCCACCACCCTTCCCCATTCTCCCGCCTTCCATCACCCTGCCCCATTCTCCCGCTTTCCATCACCCCGCCCCATTCTCTCGCTTTCCATCACCCCGCCCCATTCTCCCGCTTTCCATCACCCCGCCCCATTCTCCCGCTTTCCATCACCCCACCCCATTCTCCCGCTTTCCATCACCCTGCCCCATTCTCCCGCTTTCCATCACCCCGACCCATTCTCCCTCTTTTCATCACCCCGCCCCATTCTCCCTCTTTCCATCACCCCGCCCTATTCTCCCTCTTTCCATCACCCCGCCCCATTCTCCCGCTTTCCATCACCCCGCCCCATTCTCCCGCTTTCCATCACCCCGCCCCATTCTCCCGCTTTCCATCACCCCGCCCCATTCTCCCGCTTTCCATCACCCCGCCCCATTCTCCTGCTTTCCATCACCCCGCCCCATTCTTCCGCTTTCCATCACCCCGCCCCATTAACCCTCTTTCCATCACCCCGCCCCATTCTCCCTCTTTCCATCACCGTGCCCCATTCTTCCGCTTTTCATCACCCCGCCCCATTCTCCCTCTTTCCATCACCCCGCCCCATTCTTCCGCTTTTCATCACCCCGCCCCATTCTCCCTCTTTCCATCACCCTGCCCCATTCCCCCTCTTTCCATCAGCCCGCCCCATTCTCCCGCTTTCCACCACCCTGCCCCATTCTCCCGCTTTCCATCACCCTGCCCCATTCTCCCGCTTTCCATCACCCTGCCCCATTCTCCCGCTTTCCATCACCCCGCCATATTCTTCCTCTTTCCATCACCCCGCCCCATTCTCCCGCTTTCCATCACCCCGCCCCATTCTCCTGCTTTCCATCATCCCGCCTCATTCTCCCGCTTTCCATCACTCCGCCCCATTCTCCCGCTTTCCATCACCCCACCCCATTCTCCCGCTTTCCATCACCCTGCCCCATTCTCCCTCTTTCCATCACCCCGCCCCATTCTCCCTCTTTCCATCACCCCGCCCCATTCTCCCGCTTTCCATCACCCCGCCCCATTCTTCCACTTTCCATCACCCCGCCCCTTTCTCCCGCGTTCCATCACCCCGCCCCATTCTCCCGCTTTCCATCGCTCTGCCCCATTCTCCCGCTTTCCATCACCCCGCCCCATTCTCCCGCTTTCCACCACCCTGCCCCATTCTCCCGCTTTCCATCACCCTGCCCCATTCTCCCGCTTTCCATCACCCCGCCCCATTCTCCCGATTTCCATCACCCCGCCCCATTCTCCCGCTTTCCATCACCCCGCTCCATTCTCCCGCTTTCCATCACCCCGGCCCATTCTCCCGTTTTCCATCACCCCGCCCCATTCTCCTGCTTTCCATCACCCCGCCCCATTCTCCCGCTTTCCATCACCCCGCCCCATTCTCCCGCTTTCCATTACCCCGTCCCATTCTCCCTCTTTTCATCACCCCGCCCCATTCTCCCTCTTTCCATCACCCCACCCCATTCTCCCGCTTTCCATCAGCCCGGCCCATTCTCCCTATTTCCATCACCCTGCCCCATTCTCCCACTTTCCATCACCCCGCCCCATTCTCCCGCTTTCCATCACCCCGCCCCATTCTCCTGCTTTCCATCACCCCGCCCCATTCTCCCTCTTTCCATCACCCCGCCCCATTCTCCCTCTTTCCATCACCCCGCCCCGTTCTCCCTCTTTCCATCACCCCGCCCCATTCTCCCTATTTCCATCACCCCGCCCCATTCTTCCGCTTTCCATCACCCCGCCACATTCTCCAGCTTTCCATCACCCCGCCCCATTCTCCCGCTTTCCATCACCCCGCCCCATTCTCCCGCTTTCCATCACCCCGCCCCATTCTCCCGCTTTCCATCACCCCGCCCCATTCTCCCGCTTTCCATCACCCCGCCCCATTCTTCCGCTTTTCATCACCCGCCCCTTTCTCCCTCTTTCCATTACCCCACCCCATTCTCCCTCTTTCCATCACCCCGCCCCATTCTCCCGCTTTCCATCACCCCGCCCCATTCTCCCGCTTTCCATCACCCCGCCCAATTCCCCCTCTTTCCATCAGCCCGCCCCATTCTCCCGCTTTCTATCACCCCGCCCCATTCTCCCTATTTCGATCACCCCGCCCCATTCTCCCGCTTTCCATCACCCCGCCCCATTCTCCCGCTTTCCATCACCCCTCCCCATTCTCCCTCTTTCCATCACCCCGCTCCATTCCCCCTCTTTCCATCAGCCCGCCCCATTCTCCCGCTTTCCACCACCCTGCCCCATTCTCCCGCTTTCCATCACCCTGCCCCATTCTCCCGCTTTCCATCACCCCGCCCCATTCTCCCGCTTTCCATCACCCCGCCCCATTCTCTCGCTTTCCATCACCCCGCCCCATTCTCCCGCTTTCCATCATCCCGCCCCATTCTCCTGCTTACCATCACCCCGCCCCATTCTCCCGCTTTCCATCACCCCACCCTATTCTCCCGCTTTCCATCACCCTGCCCCATTCTCCCGCTTTCCATCACCCCGACCCATTCTCCCTCTTTTCATCACCCCGCCCCATTCTCCCTCTTTCCATCACCCCGCCCTATTCTCCCTCTTTCCATCACCCCGCCCCATTCTCCCGCTTTCCATCACCCCGCCCCATTCTCCCGCTCCATCACCCCGCCCCATTCTCCCGCTTTCCATCACCCGGCCCATTCTCCCGCTTTCCATCACCCCGCCCCATTCTTCCGCTTTCTATCACCCCGCCTCATTAACCCTCTTTCCATCACCCCGCCCCATTCTCCCTCTTTCCATCACCGTGCCCTATTCTTCCGCTTTTCATCACCCCGCCCTATTCTCCCTCTTTCCATCACCCCGCCCCATTCTTCCGCTTTTCATCACCCCGCCCCATTCTCCCTCTTTCCATCACCCCGCCCCATTCCCCCTCTTTCCATCAGCCCGCCCCATTCTCCCGCTTTCCATCACCCTGCCCCATTCTCCCGCTTTCCATCACCCTGCCCCATTCTCCTGCTTTCCATCACCCCGCCCCATTCTCCCGCTTTCCATCACCCCGCCATATTCTTCCTCTTTCCATCACCCCGCCCCATTCTCCCGCTTTCCATCACCCCGCCCCATTCTCCTGCTTTCCATCACCCCGCCCCATTCTCCCGCTTTCCATCACCCCACCCCATTCTCCCGCTTTCCATCACCCCGCCCCATTCTCCCGCTTTCCATCACCCTGCCCATTCTCCCTCTTTCCATCACCCCGCCCCATTCTCCCTCTTTCCATCACCCCACCCTATTCTCCCTCTTTCCATCACCCCGCCCCATTCTCCCGCTTTCCATCACCCCGCCATATTCTTCCTCTTTCCATCACCCCGCCCCATTCTCCTGCTTTCCATCACCCCGCCCCATTCTCCTGCTTTCCATCACCCCGCCCCATTCTCCCGCTTTCCATCACCCCACCCCATTCTCCCGCTTTCCATCACCCCGCCCCATTCTCCCTCTTTCCATCACCCCGCCCCATTCTCCCGCGTTCCATCACCCCGCCCCATTCTCCCGCTTTCCGTCACCCCGCCCCATTCTCCCGCTTTCCATCATCCCGCCCCATTCTCCCTCTTTCCATCACCCCGCCCCATTCTCACGCTTTCCATCACCCCGCCCCATTCTCCCGCTTTCCATCACCCTGCCCCTTTCTTCCTCTTTCCATCACCCCGCCCCATTCTCCCGCTTTCCATCTCCCCGCCCCATTCTCCCGCTTTCCATCACCCCGCCCCATTCTCCCGCTTTCCATCACCCCGCCCCATTCTCCCGCTTTCCATCACCCCGCCCCATTCTTCCGCTTTCCATCACCACGCCCCATTCTCCCTCTTTCCATCTCCCCGCCCCATTCTTCCTCTCTCCATCATCCCGCCCCATTCTCCCGCTTTCAATCACCCCGCCCCATTCTTCCGCTTTCCATCACCCCGCCCCATTCTCCCTCTTTCCATCAGCCCGCCCCATTCTCCCTCTTTCCATCACCCTGCCCCATTCTCCCGCTTTCCATCACCCCGCCCCATTCTCCCGCTTTTTCATCACCCCGCCCCATTCTCCCTCTTTCCATCACCCCACCCCATTCTCCCGCTTTCCATCACCCCGCCCCATTCTCCCGCTTTCCATCACCCAGCCCCATTCTCCTGCTTTCCATCACCCCGCCCAATTCTCCCTCTTTCCATCACCCCGCCCCATTCTCCCGCGTTCCATCACCCCGCCCCATTCTCCCGCTTTCCATCACCCCGCTCCATTCTCCCGCATTCCATCACCGCGCCCAATTCTCACTCTTTCTATCACCCCTCCCCATTCTCCCTCTTTCCATCACCCCGCCCCATTCTCCCGCTTTCCATCACCCCGCCCCATTCTCCCTCTTTCCATCACCTCGCCCCATTCTCCAAATTTCCATCACCCCGCCCCATTCTCCCTCTTTCCATCACCCCGCCCCATTCTCCCGCTTTCCATCACCCCGCCCCATTCTCCCTCTTTCCATCACCCCGCCCCATTCTTCCGCTTTCCATCACCCTGCCCAATTCTCCCTCTTTCCATCACCCCTCCCCATTCTCCCGCTTTCCATCACCCCGCTCCATTCTCCCGCTTTCCATCACCCCGCCCCATTCTCCCGCTTTCCATCACCCCGCCCCATTCTCCCGCTTTCCATCACCCCGCTCCATTCTCCCGCTTTCCATCACCCCGCCCCATTCTCCCGCTTTCCATCACCCCTCCCCATTCTCCCGCTTTCCATCACCCCGCTCCATTCTCCCGCTTTCCATCACCCTGCCCAATTCTCCCTCTTTCCATCACCCCTCCCCATTCTCCCTCTTTCCATCACCAAGCCCCATTCTCCCGCTTTCCATCACCCCGCCCCATTCTCCCGCTTTCCATCACCCCGCCCCTTTCTTCCTCTTTCCATCACCCCGCCCCATTCTCCCTCTTTCCACCACCCCGCCCCATTCTCCCTGTTTTCATCACCCCGCCCCATTCTCCCGTTTTCCATCACCCCGCCCCATTCTCCATCTTTCCATCACCCCGCCCCATTCTCCCTCTTTCCATCACCCCGCCCCATTCTCCCGCTTTCCATCACCCCGCCCCATTCTCCCTCTTTCCATCACCCCGCCCCATTCTCCCTCTTTCCATCACCCCGCCCCACTCTCCATCTTTCCATCACTCCGCCCCATTCTCCCGCCTTCCATCACCCCGCCCCATTCTCCATCCTTCCATCACCCCGCCCCATTCTCCCTCTTTCCATCACCCCGCCCCATTCTCCAGCCTTCCATCACCCAGCCCCATTCTCCCTCTTTACATCACCCCGCCCCATTCTCCTGCTTTCTATCACCGCGCCCCATTCTCCCAATTTCCATCACCCCGCCCCATTCTCCTGCTTTCCATCACCCCGCCCCATTCTCCAACTTTTCATCACCCCGCCCCATTCTCCCGCTTTCCATCACCCCGCCCCACTCTCCATCTTTCCATCACCCCGCCCCATTCTCCCGCTTTCTATCACCCCGTCCCATTCTCCCTCTTTCCATCACCCCGCCCCATTCTCCCACTTTCCATCACCCCGCCCCATTCTCCCTCTTTCCATCACCCCGCCCCATTCTCCTGCATTCTATCACCCTGCCCCATTCTCCATCCTTCCATCACCCCGCCCCATTCTCCCGCTTTCCATCACCCCGCCCCATTCTCCTACTTTCCATCAACTCGCCTGGTTGGTGGGAGTGCTGGGAGCAACTCACCTGGCTGGTGGGGGTGCTGGAAGCAACTCACCTGGCTGGTGGGGGTACTGGGAGCAACTCGTCTGGCTAGTGGGGGTGCTGGGAGCAACTCGCCTGGCAGGTGGGGGTGCTGGGAGCAACTCGCCTGGCCGGTGGGGGTGCCGGGAGCAACTCGCCTGGCTGGTGGGGGTGCTGGGAGCAGCTCGCGTGGCTGGTGGGGTGCTGGGAGCAACTCGACTGGCTGGAGGGGGTGCTGGGAGCAACTCGCCTGGCTGGTGGGGGTGCTGGGAGCAACTCACCTAGCTGGTGGGGGTGCTGGGAGCAACTCATTTAGCAACTCACCTGGCTGGTGGGGGTGCTGGGAGCAACTCACCTGGCTGGTGGGGGTGCTGGGAGCAACTCACCTGGCCGGTGGGGGTGCTGGGAGCAACTCACCTGGCTGGTGGGGGTGCTGGGAACAACTCGCCTGGCCGGAGGGGGTGCTGGGAGCAACTCGCCTGGCCGGTGGGGGTGCTGGGAGCAACTCACCTGGCTGGTGGGGATGCTAGGAGCAACTCGCCTGGCTGGTGGGGGTGCTAGGAGCAACTTGCCTGGCTGGTGGGGGTGCTGGGAGCAACTCGCCTGGCTGGTGGGGGTGCTGGGAGCAACTCGCCTGGCTGGTGTGGGTGCTGGGAGCAACTCGCCTGGCTGGTGGGGGTGCTGGGAGCAACTCACCTGGCTGGTGGGGGTGCTGGGAGCAACTCACCTGGCTGGTGGGGGTGATGGGAGCAACTCGTCTGGCTGGTGGGGGTGCTGGGAGCAACTCGCCTGGCTGGTGGGGGTGCTGGGAGCAACTCGCCTGGCTGGTGGGGGTGCTGGGAGCAGCTCGCCTGGCTGGTGGGGGTGCTGGGAGCAACTCGCCTGGCTGGTGGGGGTGCTCGGAGCAACTCGCCTGGCTGGTGGGGGTGCTGGGAGCAACTCGTCTGGCTGGTGGGGGTGCTGGGAGCAACTCGTTTGACTGGTGGGGGTGCTGGGAGCAACTCACCTAGCTGGTGGGGGTGCTGGGAGCAACTTACTTGGCTGGTGGGGGTGCTGGGAGCAACTGGCCTGGCTGGTGGGGGTGCTCGGAGCAACTCGCCTGGCTGGTGGGGGTGCTGGGAGCAACTCGCCTGGCTGGTGGGTGTGCTGGGAGCAACTCGCCTTCCTGGTGGGGGTGCTGGGAGCAACTCGCCTGGCTGGTGGGGGTGCTGGGAGAAACTCGCCTGGCTGGTGGGGATGCTGGGAGCAACTCGCCTGGCTGGTGGGCGTGCTGGGAGCAACTCGACTGGCTGGTGGGGGTGCTGGGAGCAACTCACCTGGCTGGTGGGGGTGCTGGGAGCAACTCGCCTGGCTGGTGGGGGTGTTGGGAGCAACTCGCCTGGCTGGTGGGGGTGCTAGGAGCAACTCACCTGGCTGGTGGGGGTGCGGGGAGCAACTCACCTGGCTGGTGGGGGTGCTGGGAGCAACTCGCCTGGCTGTTGGGGGTGCTGGGAGCAACTCGCCTGGCTGGTGGGGGTGCTGGGAGCAACTCGCCTGGCTGGTGGGGGTGCTGGGAGCAACTCGCCTGGCTGGTGGGGGTGCTGGGAGCAACTCACCTGGCCGGTGGGGGTGCTGGGAGCAACTCACCTGGCTGGTGGGTGTGCTGGGAGCAACTCGCCTGGCTGGTGGGGGTGCTGGGAGCAACTAACCTGGCCGGTGGGGGTGCTGGGAGCAACTCGCCTGGCTGGTGGGGGAGCTGGGAGCAACTCGCCTGGCTGGTGGGGGTGCTAGGAGCAACTCACCTAGCAACTCACCTGGCTGGTGGGGGTGCTGCGAACAACTCGCCTGGCCGGTGGGGGTGCTGGGAGCAACTCGCATGGCCAGTGGGGGTGCTGGGAGCAACTCACCTGGCTGGTGGGGATGCTAGGAGCAACTCGCCTGGCTGGTGGGGGTGCTAGGAGCAACTCGCCTGGCTGGTGGGGGTGCTGGGAGCAACTCGCCTGGCTGGTGGGGGTGCTGGGAGCAACTCGCCTGGCTGGTGGGGGTGCTGGGAGCAACTCACCTAGCTGGTGGGGGTGCTGGGAGCAACTCACCTAGCTGGTGGGGGTGCTGGGAGCAACTCGCCTGGCTGGTGGGGGTGCTGGGAGCAACTCGCATGGCTGGTGGGGGTGCTTGGAGCAACTCGCCTGGCTAGTGGGGGTGCTGGGAGCAACTCGCTTGGCTGGTGGGGGTGCTGGGAGCAACTCACCTGGCTGGTGGGGGTGCAGGGAGCAACTCACCTAGCTGGTGGGCGTGCTGGGAGCAACTCGCCTGGCTGGTGGGGGTGCTGGGAGCAACTCGCCTGGCTGGTGGGGGTGCTAGGAGCAACTCGCCTGGCTAGTGGGGGTGCTGGGAGCAACTCGCCTGGCTGGTGGGGGTGCTGGGAGCAACTCGTCTAGCTGGTGGGGGTGCTGGGAGCAACTCGTTTGGCTCGTGGGGGTGCTGGGAGCAACTCACCTGGCTGGTGGGGGTGCTGGGAGCAACTTACATGGCTGGTGGGGGTGCTGGGAGCAACTCGCCTGGCTGGTGGGAGTGCTCGGAGCAACTCGCCTGGCTGGTGGGGGTGCTGGGAGCAACTCGCCTGGCTGGTGGGTGTGCTGGGAGCAACTCGCCTGGCTGGTGGGGGTGCTGGGAGCAACTCGCCTGGCTGGTGGGGGTGCTGGGAGAAACTCGCCTGGCTGGTGGGGGTGCTGGGAGCAACTCATCTGGCTGGTGGGAGTGCTGTGAGCAACTCGCCTGGCTGGTGGGAGTGCTGTGAGCAACTCACCTGGTTGGTGGGGGTGCTGGGAGCAACTCACCTGGCTGGTGGGGGTGCTGGGAGCAACTCGCCTGGCTGGTGGGGGTGCTAGGAGCAACTCCCCTGGCTGGTGGGGGTGCTGGGAGCAACTCGCCTGGCTGGTGTGGGTGCTGAGAGCAACTCGCCTGGCTGGTGGGGGTGCTGGGAGCAACTCACCTGCGTCGTGGGGGTGCTGGGAGCAACTCACCTGGCTGGTGGGGGTGCTGGGAGCAACTCGTCTGGCTGGTGGGGGTGCTGGGAGCAACTCGCCTGGCTGGTGGGGGTGCTGGGAGCAACTCGCCTGGCTGGTGGGGGTGCTGGGAGCAACTCGCCTGGCTGGTGGGGGTGCTGGGAGCAACTCACCTGGCTGGTGGGGGTGCTGGGAGCAACTCGCCTGGCTGGTGGGGGTGCTGGGAGCAACTCGCCTGGCTGGTGGGGGTGCTGGGAGCAACTCACCTGGCTGGTTGGGGTGCTGGGAGCAACTCGCCTGGCTGGTGGGGGTGCTGGGAGCAACTCGTCTAGCTGGTGGGGGTGCTGGGAGCAACTCGTTTGGCTCGTGGGGGTGCTGGGAGCAACTCACCTGGCTGGTGGGGGTGCTGGGAGCAACTTACATGGCTGGTGGGGGTGCTGGGAGCAACTCGCCTGGCTGGTGGGAGTGCTCGGAGCAACTCGCCTGGCTGGTGGGGGTGCTGGGAGCAACTCGCCTGGCTGGTGGGTGTGCTGGGAGCAACTCGCCTGGCTGGTGGGGGTGCTGGGAGCAACTCGCCTGGCTGGTGGGGGTGCTGGGAGAAACTCGCCTGGCTGGTGGGGATGCTGGGAGCAACTCGCCTGGCTGGTGGGGGTGCTCGGAGCAACTCGACTGGCTGGTGGGGGTGCTGGGAGCAACTCGCCTGGCTGGTGGGAGTGCTGGGAGCAACTCGCCTGGCTGGTGGGGGTGCTGGGAGCAACTCGCCTGGCTGGTGGGGGTGCTCGGAGCAACTCACCTGGCTGGTGGGAGTGCTGGGAGCAACTCACCTGGCTGGTGGGGGTGCTGGGAGCAACTCGCCTGGCTGGTGGGGGTGCTGGGAGCAACTCGCCTGGCTGGTGGGGGTGCTGGGAGCAACTCGCCTGGCTGGTGGGGGTGCTGGGAGCAACTCGCCTGGCTGGTGGGGGTGCTGGGAGCAACTCGCCTGGCTGGTGGGAGTGCTGGGATCATCTCGCCTGGCTGGTGGGGGTGCTGGGAGCAACTCGCCTGGCTGGTGGGGGTGCTGGGAGCAACTCGCCTGGCTGGTGGGGGTGTTGGGAGCAACTCACCTGGCTGGTGGGGGTGCTGGGAGCAACTCACCTGGCTGGTGGGGGTGCTAGGAGCAACTCGTCTGGCTGGTGGGGGTGCTGGGGGCAACTCGCCTGGCTGGTGGGGGTGCTGGGAGCAACTCGCCTGGCTGGTGGGGGTGCTGGGAGCAACTCGCCTGGCTGGTGGGGGTGCTGGGAGCAACTCGCCTGGCTGGTGGGGGTGCTGGGAGCAACTCGTCTGGCTGGTTGGGGTGCTGGGAGCAACTCGCCTGGCTGGTGGGGGTGCTGGGAGCAACTCTCCTGGCTGGTGGGGGTGCTGGGAGCAACTCACTTGGCTGGTGTGGGTGCTAGGAGCAACTCACCTGGCTGGTGGGGGTGCTGGGAGAAACTCACCTGGCTGGTGGGGGTGCTAGGAGCAACTCACCTGGCTGGTGGGGGTGCTGGGAGCAACTCGCCTGACTGGTGGGGGTGCTGGGAGCAACTCACCTACCAACTCACCTGGCTGGTGGGGGTGCTGGGAGCAACTCACCTGGCTGGTGGGGGTGCTAGGAGCAACTCACCTGGCTGGTGGGGGTGCTGGGAGCAACTCGCCTGGCTGGTGGGGGTGCTGGGAGCAACTCACCTAGCAACTCACCTGGCTGGTGGGGGTGCTGGGAGCAACTCACCTGGCTGGTGGGGGTGCTGGGAGCAACTCACCTGGCCGGTGGGGGTGCTGGGAGCAACTCACCTGGCTGGTGGGGGTGCTGGGAGCAACTCACCTGGCTGGTGGGGGTGCTGGGAGCAAGTAACCTGACCGGTGGGGGTGCTGGGAGCAACTCGCCTGGCTGGTGGGGGTGCTGGGAGCAACTCGCCTGGCTGGTGGGGGTGCTGGGAGCAACTCGCCTGGCTGGTGGGGGTGCTGGGAGCAACTCGCCTGGCTGGTGGGGGTGCTGGGAGCAACTCGCCTGGCTGGTGGGAGTGCTGGGAGCAACTCGCCTGGCTGGTGGGGGTGCTGGGAGCAACTCGCCAGGCTGGTGGGGGTGCTGGGAGCAACTCGCCTTGCTGGTGGGGGTGCTGGGAGCAACTCGCCTGGCTGGTGGGGGTGCTGGGAGCAACTCGCCTGGCTGGTGGGGGTGCTGGGAGCAACTCGCCTGGCTGGTGGGGGTGCTCGGAGCAACTCACCTGGCTGGTGGGAGTGCTGTGAGCAACTCGCCTGGCTGGTGGGGGTGCTGGGAGCAACTCGCCTGGCTGGTGGGTGTGCTGGGAGCAACTCTCCTGGCTGGTGGGGGTGCTGGGAGCAACTCACCTGGCTGGTGGGGGTGCTGGGAGCAACTCACCTGGCTGGTGGGGGTGCTGGGAGCAACTCACCTGGCTGGTGGGAGTGCTGTGAGCAACTCGCCTGGCTGGTGGGGGTGCTGGGAGAAACTCACCTGGCTGGTGGGTGTGCTGGGAGCAACTCTCCTGGCTGGTTGGGGTGCTGGGAGCAACTCACCTGGCTGGTGGGGGTGCTGGGGACAACTCACCTGGCTGGTGGGGGTGCTGGGAGCAACTCACCTGGTTGGTGGGGGTGCTGGGAGCAACTCACCTGGCTGGTGGGGGTGCTGGGAGCAAGTAACCTGGCCGGTGGGGGTGCTGGGAGCAACTCGCCTGGCTGGTGGGGGTGCTGGGAGCAACTCGCCTGGCTGGTGGGGGTGCTGGGAGCAACTCGCCTGGCTGGTGGGGGTGCTGGGAGCAACTCACCTGGCTGGTGGGAGTGCTGGGAGCAACTCGCCTGGCTGGTGGGGGTGCTGGGAGCAACTCGCCTGGCAGGTGGGTGTGCTGGGAGCAACTCTCCTGGCTGGTGGGGGTGCTGGGAGCAACTCGCCTGGCTGGTGGGGGTGCTGGGAGCAACTCGCCTGGCTAGTGGGGGTGCTGGGAGCAACTCGCCTGGCTGGTGGGGGTGCTGGGAGCAACTCGCCTGGCTGGTGGGGGTGCTGGGAGCAACTCGCAAGGCTGGTGGGGGTGCTGGGAGCAACTCGCCTGGCTGGTGGGGTGCTGGGAGCAACTCGCCTGGCTGGTGGGGGTGCTGGGAGCAACTCGCCTGGCTGGTGGGGGTGCTGGGAGCAACTCGCCTGGCTGGTGGGGGTGCTGGGAGCAACTCACCTGGCTGGTGGGAGTGCTAGGAGCAACTCGCCTGGCTGGTGGGGTGCTGGGAGCAACTCGCCTGGCTGGTGGGGGTGCTGGGAGCAACTCGCCTGGCTGGTGGGGGTGCTGGGAGCAACTCGCCTGCACCCCCACCAGCCTTGCGAGTTGCTCCCAGCACCCCCACCAGCCAGGCGAGTTGCTCCCAGCACCCCCACCAGCCAGGCGAGTTGCTCCCAGCACCCCCACCAGCCAGGCGAGTTGCTCCCAGCACCCCCACCAGCCAGGCGAGTTGCTCCCAGCACCCCCACCAGCCAGGCGAGTTGCTCCCAGCACCCCCACCAGCCAGACGAGTTGCTCCCAGCACCCCCACCAGCCAGGTGAGTTGCTCCCAGCACCCCCACGACGCAGGTGAGTTGCTCCCAGCACCCCCACCAGCCAGGCGAGTTGCTCTCAGCACCCACACCAGCCAGGCGAGTTGCTCCCAGCACCCCCACCAGCCAGGGGAGTTGCTCCTAGCACCCCCACCAGCCAGGCGAGTTGCTCCCAGCACCCCCACCAGCCAGGCGAGTTGCTCCCAGCACCCCCACCAGCCAGGAGAGTTGCTCCCAGCACACCCACCTGCCAGGCGAGTTGCTCCCAGCACCCCCACCAGCCAGGCGAGTTGCTCCCAGCACTCCCACCAGCCAGGTGAGTTGCTCCCAGCACCCCCACCAGCCAGGCGAGTTGCTCCCAGCACCCCCACCAGCCAGGCGAGTTGCTCCCAGCACCCCCACCAGCCAGGCGAGTTGCTCCCAGCACCCCCACCGGCCAGGTTACTTGCTCCCAGCACCCCCACCAGCCAGGTGAGTTGCTCCCAGCACCCCCACCAGCCTTGCGAGTTGCTCCCAGCACCCCCACCAGCCAGGCGAGTTGCTCCCAGCACCCCCACCAGCCAGGCGAGTTGCTCCCAGCACCCCCACCAGCCAGGCGAGTTGCTCCCAGCACCCCACCAGCCAGGCGAGTTGCTCCCAGCACCCCCACCAGCCTTGCGAGTTGCTCCCAGCACCCCCACCAGCCAGGCGAGTTGCTCCCAGCAACCCCACCAGCCAGGCGAGTTGCTCCCAGCACCCCCACCAGCCAGGCGAGTTGCTCCCAGCACCCCCACCAGCCAGGCGAGTTGCTCCCAGCACCCCCACCAGCCAGGAGAGTTGCTCCCAGCACACCCACCTGCCAGGCGAGTTGCTCCCAGCACCCCCACCAGCCAGGCGAGTTGCTCCCAGCACTCCCACCAGCCAGGTGAGTTGCTCCCAGCACCCCCACCAGCCAGGCGAGTTGCTCCCAGCACCCCCACCAGCCAGGCGAGTTGCTCCCAGCACCCCCACCAGCCAGGCGAGTTGCTCCCAGCACCCCCACCGGCCAGGTTTCTTGCTCCCAGCACCCCCACCAGCCAGGTGAGTTGCTCCCAGCACCCCCACCAACCAGGTGAGTTGCTCCCAGCACCCCCACCAGCCAGGTGAGTTGTCCCCAGCACCCCCACCAGCCAGGTGAGTTGCTCCCAGCACCCCAACCAGCCAGGAGAGTTGCTCCCAGCACACCCACCAGCCAGGCGAGTTGCTCCCAGCACCCCCACCAGCCAGGCGAGTTGCTCACAGCACTCCCACCAGCCAAGTGAGTTGCTCCCAGCACCCCCACAAGCCAGGTGAGTTGCTCCCAGCACCCCCACCAGCCAGGTGAGTTGCTCCCAGCACCCCCACCAGCCAGGAGAGTTGCTCCCAGCACACCCACCAGCCAGGCGAGTTGCTCCCAGCACCCCCACCAGCCAGGCGAGTTGCTCACAGCACTCCCACCAGCCAGGTGAGTTGCTCCCAGCACCCCCACCAGCCAGGCGAGTTGCTCCCAGCACCCCCACCAGCCAGGCGAGTTGCTCCCAGCACCCCCACCAGCCAGGCGAGTTGCTCCCAGCACCCCCACCAGCCAGGCGAGTTGCTCCCAGCACCCCCACCAGCCTGGCGAGTTGCTCCCAGCACCCCCACCAGCCAGGCGAGTTGCTCCCAGCACTCCCACCAGCCAGGCGAGTTGCTCCCAGCACCCCCACCAGCCAGGCGAGTTGCTCCCAGCACCCCCACCAGCCAGGCGAGTTGCTCCCAGCACCCCCACCAGCCAGGCGAGTTGCTCCCAGCACCCCCACCAGCCAGGCGAGTTGCTCCCAGCACCCCCACCGGTCAGGTTACTTGCTCCCAGCACCCCCACCAGCCAGGTGAGTTGCTCCCAGCACCCCCACCAGCCAGGTGAGTTGCTCCCAGCACCCCCACCGGCCAGGTGAGTTGCTCCCAGCACCCCCACCAGCCAGGTGAGTTGCTCCCAGCACCCCCACCAGCCAGGTGAGTTGCTAGGTGAGTTGCTCCCAGCACCCCCACCAGCCAGGCGAGTTGCTCCCAGCACCCCCACCAGCCAGGTGAGTTGCTCCCAGCACCCCCACCAGCCAGGCGAGTTGCTCCCAGCACCCCACCAGCCAGGCGAGTTGCTCCCAGCACCCCCACCAGCCAGGCGAGTTGCTCCCAGCACCCCCACCAGCCAGGCGAGTTGCTCCCAGCACCCCACCAGCCAGGCGAGTTGCTCCCAGCACCCCCACCAGCCAGGTGAGTTGTCCCCAGCACTCCCACCAGCCAGGTGAGTTGCTCCCAGCACCCCCACCAGCCAGGCGAGTTGCTCCCAGCACCCCCACCAGCCAGGCGAGTTGCTCCCAGCACCCCCACCAGCCAGGCGAGTTGCTCCCAGCACCCCACCAGCCAGGCGAGTTGCTCCCAGCACCCCCACCAGCCAGGCGAGTTGCTCCCAGCACCCCCACCAGCCAGGCGAGTTGCTCCCAGCCCCCCCACCAGCCAGGCGAGTTGCTCCCAGCACCCCCACCAGCCAGGCGAGTTGCTCCCAGCACCCCCACCAGCCACGTGAGTTGCTCCCAGCATCCCCACCAGCCAGGTGAGTTGCTCCCAGCACTCCCACCAGCCAGGCGAGTTGCTCCCAGCACCCCCACCAGCCAGGGGAGTTGCTCCCAGCACCCCCACCAACCAGGCGAGCTGCTCCCAGCACCCCGACCAGCCAGGCGAGTTGCTCCCACCACCCCCACTAGCCAGGCGAGTTGCTCCCAGCACCCCCACCAGCCAGGCGAGTTGCTCCCAGCACCCCCACCAGCCAGGTAAGTTGCTCCCAGCACCCCCACCAGCTAGGCGAGTTGCTCCCAGCACCCCCACCAGCCAGGCGAGTAGCTCCCAGCACCCCCACCAGCCAGGTGAGTTGCTCCCAGCACCCCCACCAGCCAGGCGAGTTGCTTCCAGCACCCCCACCAGCCAGGTGAGTTGCTCCCAGCACCCCCACCAGCCAGGTGAGTTGCTCCCAGCACCCCCACCAGCCAGGTGAGTTGCTCCCAGCACCCCCACCAGCCAGGCGAGTTGCTCCCAGCACCCCCACCAGCCAGGCGAGTTGCTCCCAGCACCCCCACCAGCCAGGCGAGTTGCTCCCAGCACCCCCACCAGCCAGGCGAGTTGCTCCCAGCACCCCCACGAGTCAGGCGAGTTGCTCCCAGCACCCCACCAGCCAGGCGAGTTGCTCCCAGCACCCCCACCAGCCAGGCGAGTTGCTCCCAGCACCCCCACCAGCCAGGCGAGTTGCTCCCAGCACCCCCACCAGCCAGGCAAGTTGCTCCCAGCACCCCCACCAGCCAGGCGAGTTGCTCCCAGCACCCCCACCAGCCAGGTGAGTTGCTCCCAGCACCCCCACCAGCCAGGTGAGTTGCTCCCAGAACTCCCACCAGCCAGGCGAGTTGCTCTCAGCACCCCCACCAGCCAGGGGAGTTGCTCCCAGCACCCCCACCAACCAGGCGAGTTGCTCCCAGCACCCCCACCGGCCAGGCGAGTTGCTCCTAGCACCCCCACCAGCCAGGCGAGTTGCTCCCAGCACCCCCACCAACCAGGCGAGTTGCTCCCAGCACCCCCACCAGCCAGGTGAGTTGCTCCCAGCACCCCCACCGGCTAGGTGAGTTGCTCCCAGCACCCCCACCAGCTAGGCGAGTTGCTCCCAGCATCCCCACCAGCCAGGTGAGTTGCTCCCAGCATCCCCAACAGCCAGGCGAGTTGCTCCCAGCACCCCCACCAGCCAGGCAAGTTGCTCCTAGCACCCCCACCAGCCAGGCGAGTTGCTCCCAGCACCCCCACCAGCCAGGCGAGTTTCTCCCAGCACCCCCACCAGCCACGTGAGTTGCTCCTGTCAGAAATGGGCTTAGAATCGATACTATAGTAGTGAGCTCAAGGCTCTTTAAGTACATCCGGAATGAGCAAGGTAGGGATGAGGAGGGAATCAGGAGGCAATCCTGATTGGGGCCTAACACCAACAGCTCCCAGCACCCCCACCGACCAGGTGAGTTGCTCCCAGCACCCCCACCAGCCAGGTGAGTTGCTCCCAGCACCCCCACCAGCCAGGTGAGTTGCTCCCAGCACTCCCACTAGCCAGGCGAGTTGCTCCCAGCACCCCCACCAGGCAGGCGAGTTGCTCCCAGCACCCCCACCAGCCAGGCGAGTTGCTCCCAGCACCCCCACCAGCCAGGCGAGTTGCTCCCAGCACCCCCACCAGCCAGGCGAGTTGCTCCCAGCACCCCCACCAGCCAGGTGAGTTGCTCCCAGCACCCCCACCAGCCAGGTGAGTTGCTCACAGCACTCCCACCAGCCAGGCGAGTTGCTCACAGCACTCCCACCAGCCAGATGAGTTGCTCCCAGCACCCCCACCAGCCAGGCGAGTTGCTCCCAGCACCCCCACTAGCCAGGCGAGTTGCTCCTAGCACCCTCACCAGCCAGGCGAGTTGCTCCCAGCACCCCCACCAGCCAGGCGAGTTGCTCCCAGCACCCCCACCAGCTAGGTGAGTTGCTCCCTGCACCCCCACCAGCCAGGTGAGTTGCTCCCAGCACCCCCACCAGCCAAGCGAGTTGCTCCCAGCACCCCCACTAGCCAGGCGAGTTGCTCCTAGCACCCCCACCAGCCAGGCGAGTTGCTCCCAGCACCCCCACCAGCCAGGCGAGTTGCTCCCAGCACCCCCACCAGCTAGGTGAGTTGCTCCTAGCACCCCCACCAGCTAGGTGAGTTGCTCCCAGCACCCCCACCAGCCAGGTGAGTTGCTCCCAGCACCCCCACCAGCCAGGCGAGTTGCTCCCAGCACCCCCACCAGCCAGGCGAGTTGCTCCTAGCACCCCCACCAGCCAGGCGAGTTGCTCCCAGCACCCCCACCAGCCAGGCAAGTTGCTCCCAGCACCCCCACCAGCCAGGCGAGTTGCTCCCAGCACCCCCACCAGCCAGGTGAGTTGCTCCCAGCACCCCCACCAGCCAGGTGAGTTGCTCCCAGAACTCCCACCAGC